TTGAATACCCGTCTCATTGTGCTGTTTATTTGCTATGATATCTTGTACTGGTACTTAGTACCCCGTTTTGATTCCTTGCTGTCTTTGCTTGTTGTTGTTGTTATCACTGTGCTGTCTTGTACTGGTACTATTTGTTGTATACCAAGTACCTTTGTACTCTTTTGTTACCCTTGCTACATCTTGCTACCATTGTGCTGTCTAGTTGTATCCTTCTGGCCCATCTCTATTTGTATCTCTAGTGCCAGTCAAAATACTATCTGATTGTGAACTGTTTGCCCTTCTGAGTGTGATTGTCTGTGAGCCCTAACTGAGATCTCGAAATTTCACAAGTCAAATCTTCCGGTGGATATTAGAACGCCTTGTTTGGGGTGTGCGTGATTTCCGGCGGAAATTGTGTACTTGTTCATTTTGTCAGTTGTCTTTTGTTGCTATGCTGTTAGATCCCTTTTTTGATAAAATGTGTCATTTTACCGACGGCAAAATTTTGTGGCTATAGGTCATTTTCTCCATGCCACCTTGTATCTCCCCCTTACTGAAAATGGTTGTCCCCAACCCATAGGTTAGGCCCGTCTCAGTATAAAAGGTTCCACATTTGCCAGGGACTTTATTTTTGCTTCCGTCTGAAACTTCTCATTTGAATCCGTTTATACTTCCTTGTTACTATGAGTGGTCCACCCAAGCAGTTGGACACTCTTCGAAACACACTTCGGAATCGTGCAGTCGACCTGCAGAACCGACTTGAGGACAATCAAGGCCGTTACAACTATCAAAGTTGTGCCGATGCTGAGGCAGTCCTTATAGTCTTAGTAGGTTTCCACTGACAAGACCCAAAATCGTTTCCGACTGATAATCTTTTCTCTTCAGGCGGACATTACCCATACTCCCGAAGCACCGTCCCTTTTACAGGATACTGAGTTTATGGAGAATGAGTTTTTGCCCCGACGCCGCTCTGCGGAAGCTGTTTTCAATGCATTGTCTTTGGAAATGCCTCGATCTCATGGCGAAGTTCAATCATTCGTCCGTCGGTATCGAGACATTTCTGAAAACCGTCGATCGTATCGTGTGGGTCATTTTCAATTCTCTTCCCAAGGTAATTTCTTAGGCTAAGATCTTCGTTTCAGTCGGAAGGGAGTGGTCGTCCTTCCCAGAGACCTCCCCGTGGAGGATCTTACGTAGGTACACCTAGGCCTGCTCCCAACCGTTCCATTGTGTCTTCTAGTCATGCTCCGGCCAGTGTCCGCGTTTCTTCTGGAGACGTGGAAATGGCGGAGACCGCACCTACTCCTCCACCAAAAGCTTCCGAGGGAAAAGGTACTTCCGAAGGAAATAGCGTATGTCCTCCCTTTCTTTAAATTCCCACTTTTCAAATTGATATCCCAATTCGTTTTAGGCTACCAAATCTTCGAAAAAGAAGAAAGGCAAGAAAAAGGAAGAACCCATCCCCATTAGTGATGATGAGGCCCCAGCGGTATTATGTCCAACTGTTCTCGTTCCCTCTGCATGGTACTGATTGCTCTTATCTTTAGACAACTCAGCGTGCTAGTCGTCCTCGTACTCCCCATCAATTGGTAACGCTGTTGAGCTTCCTTACTTTCGTATGGAGTCAACTAAAGCCACTATTACGCTTATTGCAGGAGACCACAATTTCGACCGCCGAACTGGTTGACCAGGTTTGCTGCGATCTCTCTATCTTTGTTATATTTCCTTATCACCGGTTTCCAGGCTCAGAAGACTGTTTCCGCCGGACAGGAGCTCAGTCGGAAACGAGCTCGAGCAGACTCGGAAGAGGCTGCTACCACTGTCCGTCAGGTCCAAGCTTTGCGGGATCAGTACCGTCTGATTAATCCCGGAGCTGTCCAGGGAATCCTCCGTAAGCTTTCTTTTACTATTTTATGTTTTCGAAATTCTGTCTGAACCCTTTTTCGTCAGAGGACCTTTCGCCCCTCTCTGAAGCCGGTCTGGTGACTGTACTTCACTTAGCCAGGGAGTACCAGGAAGCGTTGCTTCCGTCGGCCACTGGTGCGGGCACTTCGGGCACTCGTCGTGTTCTTGAGGCGATATCGATGCTCGAGGCCAGGATCCGCACTTCCGCATTGGAAATGGTCTTGCAGATGAACCATCTGCAAGGCTCCATCCAAATTCTCCAAGATCTTCTTGGGGAAAATGCTGCTTTGCTCTCTGGTCCCGAGATTGATGGTCTTCGCCAGCTGATCAATATTACTGGTCTTTCCGCCGGACCGTCGAACATTGTGGCTGGTCCAAGTTCTGGAGGAACTGGCGTCATTTCCACAGTTGAGGCCGACCCTGATAGTCATATGGAGTCTGTACCTGAGGAAGCAGTAGCCACATCTTCAGCCCCAGCTAGTGCAGCCCCTTCGGAAGCCGAAACTGACACTTCCGACTCCAACAAAACTGTCTGATGGCGGTAAATATTTTTCCAGCATCTTTTTCCTAAATTTTTCTTTATCAAATACTCCACACTCCTTTCTCTGACCATAGTCGTTCTCTTATCTCTGTGAAATCTCTTCCTGTAGGCGATAATAAAAACTGTGTGCAGAAAACATGCGTTCGATCGTTAGAAACCATCTTAGTCTGAATCGAGAATTATCCGCCGGAAGCAAATATTCAGACTGATAGTTATAAGCGGACGACTTGTTCGAAGGTAACTTATCAGCCAATATGCCCGGTTTGAACTCCAACCCATCTGACTCTAACTCTTCTGCTCGCAATGGCATTACTGGGGACGAAACGCCACCCCGTATTGCCTACTATCTGAACCCAAATACTGGGGAGGTCGAAATGGTCATCATTCCTGAGGGAGCGCCTTTGCCTCATGATCCCAGAGCTGCTTCCTGGGGATTTATCGATTGGAACGAAGCTTTTAGGGCTGCGTATCACCGTCGTGATGTATGCCTCTGTGTTATGGGCCTTTTCCTCTTTCTTATTATTCTTCATCTTTAGGACTGTCCTTGTAGGGGTACCGCTGGAACTAACGGTTCTTCCGGGGGAAATGTCGAAGCTTCTGTGGCTGCGACTCCGACTGGCAATAACACTTCCGCCGAAAGTTCTCAAGTCCAGGATCAGGATAACAGTGTTGACGACTATGTTCCTGGGGGATAAAGACCTTCACGAGTCCGGGTCAGGTCAAACCCGTGACCTGTAGACAGGTACCTGTGGTCAAAAAGTGCTGACCCGTGACCTGCTGAAGATCCGTGGGAAACGGGTACCTGACCCATGGGTCAAAAACCTGCGAGTCTGCAAGTACCCATGGGTCAAGTTATGCAAAACTTTAAAAAATAATAAACATTACATTGTCCCTATGTATTAAGTACTTGGAAGTAAATATAAGTATACATATAAGTTGAAAGTCATAAAACATTGTAAATGAATACAGGGACTTTGTAAATGATAAAGATTACTACATATAAGCAATCTATAATGTTCAATCTGGGTCTGTATGAATTTTCGGATTTTTTGACCGTGCCATTGATGAGAACGGACAGTCGAAACATTGTGCAGACACTCAAATTTGAAGTCACATGACTTTCTAAGCATTGGCTCACCAATGTTGCAACCACTCATTCTCAACAACAGCTTGGTCAAAAAATCTAAAATTTTGTAGGAAGGTTGATTTACTACTCTAGATTACATAAATATATTAATTCAGCTACATGGTCTATTCAGAAAATACAAAAAAAAATTATTTGCTTCTGCCACATATTCTCATCTCCACCTTCAGCCATTGAGCTTGGTGAGAGGGTCTAGAAATGTGATTTGTGCAGATTGTTATCATCTACATAATGTCCCATCCCCCAGATTTTTATGAGCTACTTTTCCCCTATAAACACATGGTGCCACAATTTACAAAAACTCAATTAATTAATCAGGATTGAATTTTTGTCACTACTTCTAGAAATGAAAAATGAGTGGTTTTCCTTCATCTTGAATATGGTGTATTATATGTGGTATGTTTCTCAGAATATGAATTGTTTGGACTGAAATATCAATGTATATTTCCATAAAATTATATTATGAGCTTGTGTATATCTTAAACAAGTGTTAGGATTGCCTGCACATTTAACTCAAATCTATCTGAGACCTGAATTAATTTATTTCAATGGTTATAACTTGATTTAAAGCAAAATAGGTCTGACCTGCGGGTACCCGTCAAAAGTGGAGAGCTTGACCCGTGACCTGTTAATGACCCGTGGGAAACGGGTACCTGACCCACGGATCACTAAACCTGCGGGTTTTCCCACGGATCAAACCCACAGGTACCCGTTGATGACCCTGACTCGTGAAGGTCTTTACTGGGGGAACCTCCCAGACTCAGCAGGACTAGTTATATTGATAGTGAGTCCTTCCCGGCTAGTCAGTCCTACTACTTCCTGACTTTGCGTCCGTCGGTAGATTTTCTGTGTCCCTTCCGAAGGAGCAGGGCGTTTTCTCTTAGTTACTCAGATGCGTCTGTATGTAGTACGCTCCAAATATGGAAATTTTGCACAATTGTCTTTCTCGTAATCGTGTCTTCTGGTCACGTTCCCGCCACTTTTCCAATTCTGCTCAAACAAACCGACGTTGTCTGGTTCAGCATGGGCAATATGGTGTAGTGGTCACCGCCTCATCTCGATTGGTCACCCCCCTTGGCTATGAAGGATGAGGTTCTTGGTTCGAATCCAAGGTTGTCCTTCAGCTCTTACGTTCTGTTTTCTCTTCCGGGGGTTAAACTGTGTTTTTGTTTTTCCCGCCGGAAGACTCTCTGTTGGCCAAGAAGCCTGGATCCGTTTCCCAATCACGGCAGTATGGTGCAGTGGCTAGCATCCTCTTTCATAGTTCTTCTTCGAAAGAGTCTTTGGTTCGACTCCAATGCTGTCATTATTTCGGCTCATTCAATCTTTTTCTCTGCTGCCCGGAGGTGACGTAATTCTGGTACTTCACGTTTTTCCAGCGGAAAGGTGTTCTCTGTCGGTTAACAAGATCACATCGACATCCCCAATCATGGCAGTATGGTGGCAGTGGTTAGTACCCTCCTTGTGGCTGATGCCTCCAAGGAGTCCTTGGTTCAACTCCAAGACTGCCAATGGTTGAGG